GGTGCCCCCCTACCTTCAGCGCCAGTGGGAACTCCAGCAGCTTGGTGTAGCAGGCAGCACGGTTGCTGTACAGCTTGGCATCGTGCGGGTTGCGCCGGATGGCCTCGGTGTAATGCTTCATGGCACGGGGGTAATCCCCTTTTTTGGGAGGGGGGAAGGAGGACAGGGGAAGGGGGGGGGGGGGGGGGGGCAGTCTTGCGTTTGGGGGACCCCCCACTGCCCCCAAATTCCCACCCCTCACCTTTTTGGAAGCACTCATTGCCTTTGTTCTTCTCCTCCAGCGCCAGGTCGGGGTCGATGTACGCCAGCCGCTCCTGCTCCTTGAGGATCTTCTCCGCCTGTCCGACACAGCGTGGGGTTGGGGGAGGGTCTGCACCCTGCTGCCCCCCATAACCCCCCCCCCGGAGCCACCCAGCAGCACCTGCTGGCACTTCTTGAGCACGTCGGGCGTGCGGTGCTCGGCCAAGGACTTGTTGTAGAAGTGCACGGCGTCCTTGTAGCGCTCCTCCTTGAAGTACGAGTTGCCGATGCGGGCGTACGCTCTGTGTTTTGGGGACGGGGATGGGGAAGAGAAGAGCAGAGCAACGTGACGGGGTGCCCCCCCCCCCCCCAACGTGCTCCCCCCCTCCCCCAGCCAAAAGGCGCGCTCTGCTCACTTGGCAATCTGCCTGTAGTCCTCCCTGTTCTCCCGGCCCACCTCGATGGCTTTTTCGCACAGCTCGCGGCAGCGGTTGTAGTCGCCCTTCTCGAAGTAGACGGCTGTAAGGGGGGAGCGGGTTGTGGGTGAGGGGGGGGAGGAGGAAGGAGCCGTTTTTTGGGGTGCTGCCCCCATCCCTGGCAGGCCGCTCACCGGCCTGGTTGGTGATGTAGGTCATGTTGGTGGGGTCCAGCTCCTCGGCGCGGTCGTAGTGCGCCAGGGCGGTGGTGAAGTCCTTCTTCTTGTAGGCCTCGTTGCCCAGCTCCTTCTCCCGCTGCGCCTGCAGCCGTCAAGGCCAAGTTGGTTCAAAGGCCTAAAATTAGGGGAGGGGTCTAGAGAGGTTTGTGGGGGGG